GGAAAAACCGGGATCGCTATAAGTTAGATGTTAGTAAACTAGAAATCCCCCAAAGAGATTTCATCCTCCCAACCACAAGAATCGGATTCGGATTATTCGGTATGCCCCCTCTTTTGCTGCTTTGTTGCAGAACTAACCTCGGATGCCTGCCATCGGTTATATACCGTGTAGCGCCAACCGCAGGGCCTCAACAGAGACGATAATAATGGACCTTGCCCAAATCCCTCCTCACACCAAACCACCTAGGGTCCGAACACAACCGCTCCATTCAAGGGTTCCGAAAGCCACTAGCGCAAGACTTTAACTTCCAAGTAGGAAACGCATCCCAACAATCCACACATCACACATTATCATTATTACTAAAGTGATCGGAAACCCAATACCATCCAAATTAAGTTTCCCATTGAGTTAAATGTTTTTAAACAAGGTTAAACCAATCTTAACAAGATAATAATATCCACATAAGCATGCATCATTAAGATGAAGGAGAATAAGAACATAACCATAATATGTACAACATCATGCCAAGATATGTTCATATGCTAATAAACATTTTCATGAACAAAAGAGCATAAAACACCTATGCATAACAAGATTTCCAGATTCGGTATCACATAAGGATTAGAAAAGAAGGGCTATTTTAGAATTTTTACCTGACTCGCCCTTCCTATGGTTTGTAGAGAATCTAATCTAGTTTCCAGAACATATTCCGGAAATGGGATAGCTTTTCTAGATTTTAAGTTATTTAGAATACACTCCAGCGCTGTCCAGATTCGTCGATCGTTACGAAAATTTGATTTTCTTGCAAACCGCTCATTGTTTTTCCATGAAACTAATTTTAGTTAAAAGATAACTCCTTAAGGAAGATTTTGAAATAAAATAGAGGTCCAAAATAATTTTATACATTTTTCTATAATTTTTGAAAGTGGCTGCAAAAACAGATTCTAAGGTACAATACCCAAAACAAGAAGATTTATGGGAAAAGGGATCCACTAAGGGAAAATTTTCGTCTCTTTTATGATGAAAACATGCTAACTAACATATATCAATGATACATCTGAAAACAATATTTAGAACCCTTAAGAACATGTATTTGAAAAAAGAAAACGAAAGACTTCTCTATTGTTCTCCTTCCCCTCCTCTAGCCAAAAGTGTGTGTGTGAGTGTGATGCTTGTTTTTGCCAAGTTAGGGAGTGGTGATATTTATAGGCAATTTTGGTGTAAAATGACATAGAAGCCCACTAGTTGGAATTGAATGGACAAGCTAGAATTTACTTGGAGTTCAATGAATTACAAGTACTTAGGGAGCTTAACCTTGGGAAGTTCAATGAATTAGGAGTGATTTGGGAGCTTAACCTTGGAAAGTTCAATGAATTATATTTATATAGATCTCAATTAATTGATGGTACTTATAGTATAAGGTACATGTACTAGTTTTGGGAAAATTTTGAATTTAAATAAAGAAGTGAGGGCTTAAAGTTACATTCATGTATTGGATGGAGAATTTAATTAAATTAGGCTAAGGAACCTAATCCAGCTAGGATATTCTGTTTTTGATATAAAAAAAAATGCTAACCGACAAGATTTGAAATAATTCAAGTAACTAAGGGCTTTAAGAAAATAATTTAAACATTAGGGTTTTTAAAGAGAAAACATTTTTCAGGGGCTTCACAATTGTATCTCAGTGAGCCTGACTTTGAGTCCATCTTGATCATCGAATTCGTTATTGTGTAGAATTCGTTTAGTACATGTTCATTGTCAAAAATTACATTGATTGAATATCGATAACCATTTGATTAGATTGCATTTTTATTTGTGATATATTTTTAAAATCATAATTGCCTTTAAAACAAATGCAATCTAATCAAATTGCTATGAATATTCGATCAATATATATATATATATATATATATATATTTGTAAAATTGATGTATTCGACAAACTATATACTTTAAACAGTTTAGATCATTAAAATGGGTATGGGATTGAACCCACTATGGCCTGACAACACCTTAGCTGTACCATAAAAAATTTGGGGCAAATTATCTACACCTCCCTTGAGGTTTAACGAAATTACAGATTTCCTCATGAGGTTTCAAAAATTACATCCCACCCCATCACAATTAACACCGTCAACGGATATCATAAATTAACTAAAAAACCCTTGAGGTTTCGCTAAATTACAGGTTTCCCTTAAGGTTTAAATAAATTACAGATTTCTCATGAGGTTTAACTAAATTACAAATTCCCCCTTGAGGTTTAGCTAAATTATCATTTTTAAATAAGTTATGAAATGCAACATTAAAATGGAAAAACACTTATTACACTACAAAAAATTAAAGTTTTAGAGACCAAAATTTAGGGACCAAATTATTTTTAGGGGACCAAATATTTTTGTTGCGAAAAATGTCGTTATTATATTTTTAACAATGAAAATTGAACATTAGTGATTAATTATTATCTTTTGGGTATCAAATTTTTTATCTAAAAAAATTAACCATTTTAAGACCAAATTATTTTGTCTCTAAAAGTATTTATTATTGACATTTTTGAAATTTTATCGCTAAAAGCCTTATTTTTTTACTTTTCAATGCAACCTTTTAGCGACTTTTCGTAATTAATTTTATTTGGTATCTAAAACTCTTATATGTTGTAGTGTCTGATGGTGAAAATATTATAAAATTAACAAATAATCAAATAAGTTAAAAACACAAGAAATGACTTATCAAAAAATTCTTAGAATATGTTTGGTTTGATTTTTAGAAATTTATTTTAAAAATTTTTTTAAAAAAAAATTAAAATTAATTTGGTTAAGAAATAAAAAATAAAATATAAATATTATTTTTGTATAATTTTATCTTTTGAATGGTTAGAAATAATTTTTACAAATTAAATATATTTTTTCATATTTATTTTTTTAAATTTTTTTTTTTTTTTTTTGTTTTTAATTCTGAATTTTTTTTTTCTAAACAACAAATCAAATATGGTTTCAAAAACTTAATTTTATATATATATATATATATATATATATATTTTCATCTTATGTAATTCTTTTGTAAATTTTGTTGATTTATCAAAGGGATTTCAGCAGAGGTAATATCGTCCATCAATTTATATTTTGGTGATATCAGCTAATCATTCTTAACATTTAGTTAACGATAGGGGTTATATTGTTATGCAAATATAAATCATAAGGGATAGGATGTAATTTCTAAAACTTTAGGAGAAAATATGCAATTTAGCTAAACCTCAAGGGAGCGTGTAGGTAATTTGTCCAAAAAAATTGTGATATTTTAAGGGATAAAATTGAAATTAACCATATTTATTTACCTATTGTGGCTGCGGCGCCAAACCCTTGAGCATCGAATCCATGGCGATCAAGAAGTTGAACTTAGAAAGTTTATTTCATCTCAACAAGAGGATGAAGAAAATGTAGAGGTAAGTAAGTTTACAGTTGAGATAATTTTAGTGATGTCACTTTTTGATATACAGATTTGAGTAAAAAAGCTTCATTTCATATAGATTACTCGAATGGCCAAACTCAAATTTCAGTATAAATTTGAGTAAATCTTTGGTAAATGGCACAACTGTAAATTTAGAAGCTACTATATCACACTAAAAATGTCTTTAACAATTTGAGTAAATAGAAGGGTCTCCCTTGATTTGAGTCATTTTGGTATGGTAAATGGTAAGAATTGGATATGCGCTAATATCAACTTTTTAACTAGGGAATTCTTCTCTAGTTTCATTTGTTTGCTATATACAAATCATGTAAGCATCTATCTATTTAAGTCATCCACAATCTATCTATTTAAGTCATCCACAAGTTACCCCAACATAACCCAAATAAGTTCTAGTACAATGCTTAGCAAAAATGTAAAATGTAGGTCTTTGTGCAGGAGGTATTTGCTGCTGGAATTACAATGGATATAGGAAATATGCTGAAACTTTCGTCATGATCCCTAGAGGCACATCGAGTTTCTGCTTGTTGTGGAAAAGGAACAAGAAGTGACTATGAGTTTCACTTCTTGGAGCAATCAATAAGTGCTTGTAATTTTATCTGGAAAAGGAAAAGTTTTGGCATCACTTACAGATTTGGACATGGAAGTTAAAAAGTCATCAAACATAAATTACATGATGAAATAACCCTCCCCGTAATCACATTGTTACTACTAAAGGAGTAAAATGAAAGTTAAATTGGAGATTATTGTAGCTAAGAGGTTATTGGAGTTGAGCTGTGAATTACACAGTTATTAGTAATTAAGTTTGTTACACAAATTGTAAGCAATGGAAGATAGTTACATAATTAGATCAGGTTAGTTGCAAAGGGTAGTTGACAGTTAGTAGGGTTTGTTAGAAGACTAGTATATATGAAGAGGATTGTATAAGAGGTCTTCTGTTAAATTGTATCAGAGCTTGTGTTTTTCTTTCATTTTCTCTGCATCTCTCTTTTCCTTTCTCTGTTATTTTCTATTTCCATTTCCAGTGCTCTGTTTCTTCTTTTCTCATCTCAAAATTCTTGCTCAGAGCCATTCTTTTTCATCTTCATAATACGATACGCATCACAGATCTACGCAAATTCTCTGATTTTGATCTTCTTGAGGGTTATGTACAGGAAAAAATGACCAACGAAATAACCAACAAAAGAAGAAAGCGTGCTGTTGGCTGCACATCGTTGGAAGACTCACTGGCGGCAGAAGTAATTATCAGCAATGTAGATCTTCTAACGGAGATCCTTTTACATGTGCCGACAAAGTCACTCCTCACATTCAAGTGCGTATCTAAGCATTGGCTCTCTCTCATCTCTGACCCACAATTTTCCTGCAACCATGCCCGCCGAACGAAGATTTCATTGATCTCGGGCCTATACTTCAACTACAAACCTTGGAACTTCAAGGAACTTATTTCTGTTTCGCCTCACAGCCACTCCAGTCTTCCAACACTTGCCTTCCTCAACGGTGTTGGAGAAAGATCTACACCTAGGATTGTGGACTCTTGCAATGGCTTACGGTTGTGCTCGAAGGTTTACGGAAGGCATTTCATTGTTTGTAATCCGACCACCCAGAAATACACTACACCAGCTGAACCCAATAGCAGATCATCTAGATTGTCACTTCATGGGTTTGGTGCTTGCTTAGCTTTTGATCCTTTAAAATCACCTCACTACAAAGTTGTATTGGTTAATTGCTCTTCTCTTTTTGCTGGAATCAGAGGAAGCTCCTATGGGATTGATATCTACTCTTCAGAAAGTGCATCTTGGAAACACATTCGTGTCAGTACATCACCAGGTGACTCCCTCACACGCAGGGTCTTTTGGAATGGAGCAATTCATTGGATGAGTGATGAGAACATTCACTTTCGATTTGATGTTGATGCAGAAACTCTGACGGGAACTCCAATGCCTCCATACCCTAAAATTCTTTCTGGCGGGAAATATATGTATTTTGGAGAATATCATGGCCATTTGTTTCTCATTCAGACTCGTCAATGCTCTCCTATGGGATTCAGAATTCTTGAGATGGACAGGGACTCCTGCTGCTGGAATGTGAAGTACCGGGTTAGTCTTGAGACGTTTGAAAGCTGCATTTCCTGAGAATTTTCACCCACCATTTTCTGTGCTGTCTATTGTGAAGGGAGCAAATGAAAAAGATTTTGAAATGATATTAGCTATCCATGGCAAATATATTTCTTATAATCTGGATTGCAAGACATGGAAGATGCTTCGTGATTTGCAGCCTGGTGATTTTCATGAATCAACTGGTTATAATAATGCTTTTCAATTCATTGAAAGCCTATCCCCTGTTTGAGACAACATGTGCTACTTCTACATGTTGGAATTTTTTGTAGAACATATCTTATGATCTTTTTGCGAGAATCAACTTCTCAGTGTTAAAATTGTTGAATATTTTGCCATCTCAGTGATAGTAATTGGTCCTTGATCTAAGTATTGTTGTAATTTCTATTGTTATCCAAATAGTTTTGACATCTCAAATTGTGATACCCCTGTTCTATATTATGATAAATCGGTCCTTAATTTGTTTATGGTTATGTGTTTAGAATGATTTTGTGTGCCATTATGTGAAAATATGTGACCTTGAAGTTTTGTCTGTTCACCGTAGGAATATCTGTTCGAATAATTAGCTGTGGAAATTTAATTGAGGGCCTTGTCGGCCACAGAACCTGAAATTGATTTCGCCATAGTGATTGGCATAATTTTTAGAGCCTACGGTGAAATTTAATTGAAATTTGATTCTGGTCAATTTAAACTGATTAAATTGATCAAATGTAACAATTTGTCAATGTGACAATGTAGGCTGTGCCTACACTGTCCGGCAGCTGCACCTATTTTTTTTTTTTTTTTTTTAATAAAAAGGGTTGAATAGTGGGGCTTTTTGGCTTATTTTTAATTTGGGGCTATATTAGCCTGAACCCTTGTTTCCCAAACAGCGCCAATGTTGAGTTCCTTAAAATGAGTTTGCGCTGGGTAGACGTTTGAGGAAATTTTTCAATAAGTAATTGAGTATTTGGAAGTGAGACTGAACCAGTTGTGACGAGGGTAGTTGTAATGTAGATGAATATCGAAGGTGAAATTCTTTAAGGTGGGTAAATCATGAGGACTCAGGTTTTAGACCCGACCTAATTTATGTGGTTAAGTCTTGCTTTCAATCATAAGACTGTTAAGCTGTACCTGTTGTCGATTTGAGACCTTCTGATTTTGGGTCCTTTATTACAACTTTATTATTATATCATGTTTATATTACTAATCTGATTGTGTACACTTATTGATTGAATTTTGGATATACGACTTGAGTAAAGAGTGACCAAAAAATTGATTTGTCTAAGAGAATGTGTGACTGCAAGTTGCTATGTGCAGCCGCAAGTGTGTGGGCAGAGTTGTACTAGTCACACGACGATTAGTGTGATATATTAATTGCCTTCACTTTTATTCATGATTCTTGAACAGAAAAATAGAAGATTTCCTTCCTATTTCAGACTTCTTCTTCTCTGTCTACATTTCTCCTATTTCTTTCTCTAGAACAATGTTAAGCAAGGAAACTCAAGATTTGAGCAAGCCAATGTATGATTTTGCTTCCAAGTCAATAATGTTTGTCGTAGAGCTCTCTGAGGGCCATGTTTTCAGTGGTTCAATTTTGATTTTCATCAACATGTGGGGAGCTATGGTCTTGTCCTTCTTAATTTGAGGTAGGAATTTTCTTCTCTTTGATTTATATGAAATTTTGAAGCTAATGTGTGGAATTTTATTCTACTGCAAAATTATGAACGTGGTAACCTAACTCGTACTATACTTAATTATACAAGCGATTATGTGTTTGATATGAATTTGCAAATTTAAGTATGGGAAATATGTGAATTTGGAAAAATATCTGTTGAAAGTAGGAATACATGTTACAATTGAAACTTTGAACTGAAATTGAAGGCCTTAGAGGCGCGATAAATAAAAACCGACTTCATATCTGTGATTAGCATGATTTATAGAGCTTACGGTGAAATTTTGAAAAATTGTTATTCGTAATGATTAAATTATGTTTTGTGAGTTGGGTCATATATGTGTGTTTAGCCTATTGTTCTTCATTGTTGCTTGAAAGCTCTAGAGTATGAGTTAGAGAGAGAGGAAGGAGAGAAAGCTAGGGATTGAAGAAAATCAAGGGGCAAACCTTAGAATTGAGTTAAGGTATGTTAAATTACTTACAAACTTTGTCTCTAATTCATCTTTGTTTTGAAATCAAGAAGAAATTAGGAATTTGAGCTAGGGTTTTGAGTTGTATGGTGGCTTGAGCTAAAGGCATGAAATGGAACCCTAATCTCTCCATCTTTGTTTGATTTAAGTTCACACTTGTGATTGACCCATGAAACAAACCCTAGATGGTTCATGAAACAAGATTTGTTGGAAGATTATTCATGGATTATGTATTTTGAACTTGTTTATGTAATGTATGAATATGGGAAAGGGATGAGTCCATGAAATTGTTGTTGATGTAAGATTGATATGTTTAATATGGAATTACACTTGTATCATGCTTATATATCATGTTTTTGAGTTGTTTTTACATGAATTTGGGCATGAGAATGAGATGAAAAGGTTTGCATCTTTTAGTTATTTTCGGATTGCCTAAGTGAGCCCAGACCACTCGTGCAGCCACAGGCTCCGCACGAGTGCCCATGAATTAAGCCTGGACTAGTTCCTCATTGTACGTTCAAGCGACTGCAACTTCCACACGTGCGGAGCCAGACCACTCGAGCAGCTGGACCGGCCGCACGTGCGGCCTAACAGGGAAAAATTTGTGTTGTTTTGTCTTGCTACCCCCGGCTTCTGAAATGCACTCCCAACCATATTTAGATCCTTTTAGGAGTGAAATGATGCTTAAAAACTCATTAAAAAAGGTTGTGAATAATGAAAGAAAAGAGTACAATTGAAGCAAATGATTTAATGAATATATGTGTGTGAAATGTTTGTGTAGGTCATGTGGCCGAGGAGACACCACGAGATCAAACACACTGTGAGTAGTAATATTGTACACTTATATTTTTTGTTGCGTATCTTGAACCATGAATGGTGATTGATGTCAACATTATGAATTGATTGGAAATGACGAAACTTCATTGATATTACATAACATGTGCCAAATGATTGGGCCCGAGGCCGCTTGATAAATGATTGGGCTCAAGGCCGCTTGTTATATGATTGGGTTTGAGGCCGCTTGTTATATGTTTGGGCCTAAGACTGCTTGATTTATATGATTATGGACACTTTGGAAATCTTGTAATCATCTACTTACACTGCTTTACTGTATTATTACCCATTGAGTTTCGTTCACCTAATTTTATGTATGCACATGTAGGTGATCAACAGCATGGAGCACACCCCTAGAGTCAGCTTCATGAGCCTTTTTTGTGACCCAATTGAGTCATGCCTCCGAGACGGAGTTTTGTCTTGACTCACGCCACACCTTGACCTTGTTTTGTTTTTGCTTTCATGGTCTTGGGTTGTAAACACTACGTACAATTTTCCTTTGACTCTTATATTTTTGTTGGGTATGCAAATGTATTAATGTGTTACATGGCTATCTCTATGATCTTGTTCATGATTGGCACAGCTCAATGGAGTCATGTTTATTATATGCTTCCGTTAAGGACCCATTAACATAAATATTTTGTATGATCATTTGAGGCCTTTGGTAATCCACGGATTACTAGTCGATTATGACCCAAACTTTTAGGGGCAGGTTTAGGTCTTGACAATGAAATGGTGTAATTTATCATGTTATGCATGTTAAGGAATTTTATCGACAGTATGTAATTTCTTTCTTAAAGCTTGTGTGTGGTAGGTTGTGCTATTAAGGGCCCGTTTGGAAATTGACTATTTTAGTTGCCTTTTTATAAAAAAATGTGCAGAAAAATGAGAGAATGTTGACAACTTATAGTAGCTTTTTGGCTATTACCCTAATGCCAAACAAAGCTTAAATGTCTTTTTTTTTTTTTACTGAGATCAAAAGAATGTTGAATTCCTTAAAGCGAGTTTGCGTTAGGTAAACGCTTGAGAAAGTTTTTCAAAGAGGAATTGAGTATTTGGAATTGAGACTCAAGTTGTTGTGATGAGGGTAGTTGTAATCTAGACTGATTTCATAAACAAAAGTTCCTAAGATGAGTAGATTATGATTACTCGGGTCTTAGACCCGACCTAATTCCCATAGTAGTGTCTTGCTTTCAGTCTTTAGAATGTTAAGTCGTATCTGTTGTTGATTAGAGACCTTTTTATTTTGGGTCCTTTACTACAACTTTATTATTATATCTTGTTTATATTGCCTATCTGACTATATACAATTGGTTGAGTTGTGGATTGCCTCAAGTGTATGGCTTGACTGAAGGGTGGCCAAAAGTTTGATTTGTCTATGAGGATGTGTGACCGTAAGTTGTAATGTACAACTGCAAGTGCGTGAGCAAAGGTGTGCAAGTCACATGACAATTATGTGATATGTTTCTTTCCTTCACTTTTATTCATGATTCGAAGAGAAAAATAGAGGATTTCCTTCCTAACCTTTAGACTTCTTCTCTCTTTACATTTCTCCTATTTCCCTCTCTAAAACCATGTTAAGCAAGAAAACTCAAGATTTGAACAAGCTAATGCAAGATTTTTGCTTCCAAGTCAGAACATTTGCCGTGGAGCTCGTTGAGGGCCATGTTTTCATTGGTTTCAATTTTGATTTTCATTGACACGGCCATACAAAAACAAGGCCCTATTTCCTCACAAAAATAGCACATGGCTCACATTCACATTCCATGCCAAGTTGCCAACTCAAGTTCACGGTCCATCACACTTGAAAAAGTTAAACAACGGGATGAACATAAAGGTCTAATAGAGAATGCATCCAATCTAACAATATGATACACGTGATCATGATAGTATACAATATACATAACAAGATTTGATATCAAATTTCATTTCAAAATAGCCGTTTCCATTTAACAAAATTCATCTGAAATGCAAAATTCTCAATTACAAAACTTATTGTAGCGTTCCCGGTCTTAAACCTGACTTGTTTATGCTAATTGGTGCTCATTGCTTAGTACTTATATTGTTTTCAAACTCATGGTAATGATATATTTGCATTTGAATTTTAATTATTATAATTGAGACATCGTTCGAGATATTTAGAACCTTGATTGAGATGTTAGCATGATGGCTAGGCAAGATTGGACCAAACACTCAAAATTCAGATATTTATTTTTGAGTAGTGTTCACTCTTTTGCCCTTTTCTCTTTTCACACTTTGAATCTTAATGTGAGG